AGGCTAGTGGTAGATGGTAGGCTGTAGAATCTGATAGATTTTGTTGTGAATTCCAGTTCTGAAGTTATAGAATTATTATTTTTTAACAGTCAGTAAATATTTAAGGAATTTCTCATGTTGTGATTCTTTCTCTGCCCCTCAAGGTCACTGTAGTTCCTCTGATGCTGAAGTTTGAGATTTATCTTTAAGATAGTCCTTTTTAAAAAGTATCGATGCTAGATTCAATTGTTCCATCAGCCTGCAGTTTTAAAATTTGGATTTCTTTTGTTTCTATTTGAATTATGCACATAGATCATGATGATTTCAAAGTTCCCCATCAATCTCTGGGATCAACTTTCTTCAAGAAGCTGACCTCAGGATCACTTTTTAGGGTTGATGGATCTGCCTAGTTTTGTTTGTTTTAGTACCAGGTGTACTTAGCCACTGAGCCACATCCTCAGCCCTTTTAAAAAAAAATTATTTAGAAACAAGGCCTCGCTGAGTTGCTTAGGGCCTCGCCCAGTTGCTGAGGCTGGCTTGGAACTCAGGATCCTCCTGCCTCAGTCTTCCATGCCGCTGGGATTACAGGGGTGTGCCACTGTGGCCTGGCTGCCATGTTCTTAATTGCCACTCTGATCCATCATACTCAGAAACAGTATAGATCTGTGGGATATACCAATGCCTAAGATTAAAAAAAATTTTTTAGGTCTTTATAGTTTTTGTTAACTGTCTTATAATTCCATCCCACATATTCATGTGAGTAAAGCAAAACGACAAAGTTACTGTATGAGTGTTTTCAATAGATGTGTGGCTACAGGAGAAGCCCTCTTGGGAGAGATCACAAAACTGTTGGAAAATTATGACTTGGGATATATATATTAATCTAGCATTGGTACTTTTTCAAAAGGATTATCTTAAAGATAAATTTCAAACTTCAGCATCAGAGGAACTACGGTGACCTTGACGGGCAGTGAAAGAATTACAACATGTGAAATTCCTTAAATATTTATTGACTGTTAAAAAATAATTATTCTATAACTGCAGAACTGGAATTCAAATATATACACACACACACACATACATACATACATATATAATATATATTAAAATACCTCCCTAAACTACATTTTTCTCATCTTTAAAATGAGGAGAGTATTTATCTAAGGTTGTAAATATTGAGAAAATATAAAGGACTTAGCAGCACAGTTCTTGGGAGGTACATAGGTGCCCCTTCAATCAGTGCTCTTGTTGATGACATTACCACTGCTGTTACTACTGATATATTGACTTTACATACTTAATGCATGTAAAGCATGTAAACATGCCGAATTGGCTGTTGTTAGTCTGAGAAACATTGCACTATGCTGTATTCTCTCATAGGGCTCTGGTAATAGACTTTAATCTCGCATTTATTTTTCAGTTTTCTTACATTACTGTCTTTTGTATTTTAATCTTTTACTAATATCTTTAAAGAGTGCCTTTTAAAAACATATCTATTTTTTGTAGTGCTGGGGCTCAAACTCAGGGTCTTTCACTAAGCATGCTTCCCCTGAACTAGAGTGCCCAGCAAGAGTGCCTGTTTTTAATTCCACATTATCTGTTGTAAAATTATTTCCTTTTTGAAACATCTTGTTTCCCTTTACATCTATTTTGGTTTTCTTTCGTGATTTCTGCACCAGAGATTAGTTTTCAGTTCTCGCTTCTCTACTCATTTCTGTTTGAGGATTAGATGCTCCATGGCTTCCTCTACCATGGTAACACAGATGACTTTTAAGTCTCTACCAGTAGCCCTGGCCAGATCTTTTCTAGGTTCCTCTTAATCAAATATTATTGTTCTTCTGAAATTTCTTTGACATATTCATCTACTGTTTTGCATTCTTTTTCATTTGTATGATTTCAGAAAAAATTAAAAGGGAACTGATCCAGAGTTGTTAGATTTTTATGTTGCCAAACAGTGACAGCTGAAAAAGCAACTAAACTCACCATTTGCTATATTCTATCATTTCATACACAAAAGACATCTTTAAAAGTTTAGGAAGACCATGAACCCAGAATTTAAATATATGTGACTTTAAAAATAATGTAATGAGGGGCTGGGGTGTACCTTGGTGGTAGAAGGCAGTCTTAAGTGCTAGGTTGGATCTCTAGCATCCCCTCTCCTCCACCAAATTGAAAATTGAACCTGGGGCTTCATACATGCTAGGCAAGCACTCTACTATTGAGCCATAAACCCTAGCCCTATTTTTTTAAAAATTCTTTTTTAAAAATTTGTTTTAGGGGCTGGGATTGTGGCTCGGTGGGTAGAGTGAGTGCTTGCCTAGCATGCATGAGGCACTGGATTCGATCCTCAGCACCACATAAATGTAAAATAAAGATATTGTGTCCACTTAAAACTAAAAAATAAATATTTAAAAAAGTTTGTTTTAATTAGTTATTCATGCCAGTAGAATGCACTTCAATAAATCATATATGGGTGGAATATAATTTCTCATTCTTCTGGTTGTACATGATGTAAAATCCCACCGGTCATATAGTTATGTATGTACATAGGATGATAATATCTGATACCATTTTTATTCTGATCTTTCCAAAATTTGACTTTGACCATGTTTTCAGTACTTAAAATTCTCCCCACTGCCTTCCTAAAAAATTCAAATTTTGTAGGCTTTCCTAGTTTGACTCCTCTCAATCCTAATCTTTTTCCTCATATCACTTTGTTATCAACCTTTTTTTTTTTTTTAATAGTTGCATTTGTAGTTTGGATCTCACTAATGCCACTTCACATCTGGCTCTTATTTATAGACTTTGTGGTCTTGGGCAAGTTACTGTAATTAGAAGAAAAGTAGCCTCTTGCACACTAGGGCTTCCCTGACACTTCAGCTAGGCCTTGGTGTTACTATGAGCCAACCTGGCACTTAATAGCTAAGTCCTTTTGGTGTTCTTCTGTTGAACACAAACAATTTCTCTGAACACCAACATTAGATAAGATCATCTGGTGACCTTGATGTATCAAGACAAAGCCAAGGTTATGCATTAATCATGTCTGAACACAGAGGAAACTAAACATTGCTAAGTTATAAAAGATGAAACATCCCCCTTTCCAGGCTAATGTGAATGATTGTGTGCTTTACCAATTAACAGTGGTACCGGCTTGTCTGCAGTTTTGTTTTCCATAGTATCCAGTTACCTGCAGCCAACCATAGTTTTCAAATAAAAACAGTTCGTAAGTTTTAAACTGTACACCATTCTTCGTATTCTTGATGAAATCTTGAGCCATACCATCCTTTGTTGCCTGGAACATGAATTATCTCTTTCCAGAGTATCCACCATGTGTATGTTACCTACTTAATAGTCACTTAGTAGCCATCTTGGTTATCAGATTCACTTTTGTTCAGGTGACCTTTACTTAATAATCCCCAAATGCAAACTTTTATTATAGTATATTGTCCTATTTTGTTATTACTGTTGTTAAATCTCTTATTATACCTAATTAAAAAAAAATTTTTTTGGTTGTTGATGGACCTTTATTTATCTGTGGTGCTTAGAAGTGAACCAAGTGCCTCAGGGAAGAGTGCTTGCCAGGGAAGCACTCTACCACTGAGCTACAACCCCAGCTCTTACAATACCTAATTTATAAATTAAACTTTATGTGTGTATAGGAAAAAACAAAATATGAATAGTTTGATAATGTCCCTGATTTCAGGCATTCTCTGGGGGGGCATCTTAGACTGTATCCATTGTAGATAAGGGGGGACTTCTGTTCAGCTGCACTCTGTTTGCGTCTACTAATTGTAGAATTGTCTTTGCTTTCTGACAGTACCTGAGCCAGAGTAAACCCTTGTGCCCTGGGACTCTTCAAAACTATCCAGCCAGATTCCACTTCTGATCTTCTAATTTCCTATTGTAGGCCTTCCTAATAACTCAGCTTGTTCAGCTGCCGTTGTGTTCCTGTATGGGTGGAGGGCACTGATGGTAATACTTCTTGAGCCTTTGTTTTTTCATATTAGAGGTAATAACATTTTTTTCCCCCAGAATTGTTATGAAGATTAAATGAGACAACCTAAAGCACACAGTAGGGGCTTTCCATGGAGTAGACAACAAAGTCTAGTCTCGTTCTCTAGTGGTCTGCTTCAGTTATGGTCCCCTGAACAGGGCTTCTAAAGGTCTTGATTTAACCCTTTCTCACACATGGAGTGTTATGTTCTCATCCTTCAAGACTCAGCCCCCAAATACCTTCTTTTCTGTGAGACTTTTATGTCTTTTTCTGATATCTCCTGACTTTGAACTTCCGAGTTATTGTTTTTACCATGGATTGATTATCAGTTATACTCTATCTGTGGCATCTTTGTAGCTGTACTTTGCTGTTTAATTTTTGATTTTTCATATACTTGGTGCCTGTTTGTTCAACTAAACTATTCATAGGATCTAATTTCTTCAAGTTTGTTACAGTATTTTATACTCATGATTAAATGTGATTAAAGGAAAACACAAGGAAGACCATATCATCAGTTGTCACATCTCTTATGGTTTTATTCTGAAATTCACCTAAGTCAGATGCTTAGTTCAAAGCTTTTTATATTTTTTAAAAAATTGTATTAGTTGTAGTTGGACACAATACCTTTATTTTTATGTGGTGCCGGGGATCAAGCCCAGGGCCTTGCCCGAGCCAGGCAAGTGCTCCACCACTGAGCCACAACTCCAGCCCCTTGTTTTATAATTTTTAATTCTTTTTTGTGTATGTGATTTTGGGAATGGAACCCAGGGCCTAGTGTGTGCTAGGCAAGCACTGTACCACTGAGCTATATCACTCCATATTAAAAAATTTTTAATTGACACATAATGATTGTATATTATTTATAGGTTACCATGATATTTCAATACATGTATAAAGTGTGAAGTGATCAAATCAGGCTGAATAGCTTATTCATCATCTCAATCATGTATCACTTCTTTGTGTTGGGAACATTCAGAACCTGTTCTTCTAGCCATTGCTTAAAGCTTTTTACATCTTCTTTTCCTAGCAAATCAATGGTGGATAAAGAGAAGATGTCTGTAAGAAACCGGCTATCCAAGTCCAATGAAAACTCTGAGAAAGATGAAGACCAGAAAAACCCTACAAAGGAGTCCCTAGAGACTCATAGAAATGGTGAGGCTTTACATTTTTTGGGATGAATTAATGAAATAATAAATTCAGTGTTCCAGAGTAGGGATTACAATTTTATTTGTTTTTTCTCTATTATAAATGAATATTAATAGTTTTTATATCTGGTAACAAAGAGTCACCTAACCTACTAATAATTATTGGGTATCCTGTTATATTTTGGGGTATAATAGTGAGCAATACTGATGTTTGCCCCTTAGAGCTCCAAGTTAAGTGAATGGCAACCCCCCCCCCACCAAATCACACACATAAGTAGATCATTAAAAATAACTGATACTATCAAAATTACTAATTACTCTCATAATAGATATAATGAGTAAAACTAGTAATTAGCAGAGTACCTAATCTAGGTCTATACTGAGTTATAAATCTTAGGAGTGAGGGAGAAATTAGGAAGTTCTATTTAAAAAAAATTTTTTTTTTTTTTTTACTTAGTTCTTATATCCAAGTTTGCCAAGTACTTGAATACAAAGAGGAGTATAACACAGTGCTTGTTAAAGTAAAGGCTTATGATTAAGAATGGCAGACTTGTAAATGTAACTCTGATGTCATCTGTTACATCAGGATATTTGTTTTTGCAGTGACATTTGTATAGGTTAGATTTCAACACGGATTTGATATTTGACCCTTGTTTGGTTAACAAATAGGGTGAAACTTTCTGATATTGTCTTTGGCATCTTGAGACATTTTATAAAAGTACATTATTTTGTTTTTCCTACTTTAATTTTCAATATCAGTAGCTGGATTCCACTGGAATGTAAGTGTTGCTGTTTAAGTTGACATAATGAAGTTTAAAAAACATTTTTTACATTTATTTATTTTTATGTGGTGTTGATAATCAAACCAGGGCCTCATACATGCTAGACAAGTGCTCTACCACTGAGCCACAACTTGAGCCCCTTAAATTGCTGCATATTCTAATGTTATATAAAAAATGAAATTTATACAACGAAGGAGGAGTTAATATTGGGGAGAAACATTCTGAAGAAAGACAAATAATGAAGATCATTGAATTGGTAACTTATTTACTCATTCAATTTATATACTTGTTAAATAAAAACCCACTGTAGACAGTAAATGCAGGTCTGTAGGTTATGTTTTCCAAACTCCTCCTTTAGGATCTCAGGAGAAATATACAAACAAAAGATTATAATACATAGCAGGGGTATGGGAGCACGGGTAGGGTAGAGGGAACTTTTGCAGAGGAAGTCAATATTTGAGCTGAGGGTGTAGCTCAGTGCGTGGTAGAGCACTTGTCTAAGCCCAACCATCCTGTGGACATAAAGACTATCTTTAAGTGACACTTCTAGATTACTTCTGTTTCTTCATGGAGAGCAAGGTAAAACTAGGATGAAGGTAGTTTAAGACATAATCATTCAGAGTGTTTTAGAAAATAATCAGAATTGTAAATAAATTTGAACTTCTCTAGGCAATAAAATCCTGTTAGTGCCTACACATTAGCTAATTTGATTCTTGCCACAAGTGGACAAAACATTTGCTGAAAGAACTGAAACTTGAAAAGTGGTAATTAGTTACTGCTTAGGGCTCCTTAGTCATCTTTAAAATTATAGTCACTATAAGTTCCTGACCTATCTTTATTTATTTATTTTTTTAATGCTTCATGAGTGGGATCAGAAGATGTGGGATTTTTTTTTTTAAGTTGTAGATTGACACAATAACTTTATTTTATTTTTATTGACTTTTATGTGGGGTGAGGATCAAATCCAGTGCCTCATACGTGTGAGGCAAGCACTCCACCAATGAGCCACAACCTCAGCCCCAAGATATAGATCATGTGACAGTGTGCATGATGTTTAATTTTTTAAAATGTTAATTTTTTTTAAAGAGAAATGATATTAGTTACCTTGCTTTTCTCACTAGGTTACATACATATGTGTGTGTGTGTGTGTGTGTATTTCTCACTGGGATATAAAGATTAAATATGTTGGGCTGGGGTCGTAACTCCATGGTAGAGCACTTGCCTAGCATGTGTGAGGAACTGGGTTTGATCCTCAGCACCACATAAAAATAAAAAAAGGTATAAAAAAAGATTGCCATCATTAAAAAAAAAAAGATTAAAAGTGGTGACATATGAAACATAATTTATTTATTTTAAAATCTTTATTTATTATGTGTTGCTAAGGATCAAACCAGGGCCGCATGTGTGAGAGGCAAGTGCTCTACCACTGAGCTACAACCCCAGCCCTATATACTTTATTTTTTAAAAAATGTATCTTTATTGAAGTTGTGCTTCGTGGTGTTTGTAGTTACAAGTACTGTGTTTTCTTTTAGGAGTTGTAGAGTTTCTAGTCTAATTTCTAGGTCTTTGATCCATTTTAAGTTGACTTTTGTGTAGGATGAGAGAGAGATCTAGTCTCATTTGAATAGTTAATTTTTAAAAAGAGGCCACCCTTTCCTCTGACATAGGAATAATGAAGAAAGAGGTTTACAGATAGTGAAAATTAAGAAATATAGAAGACATTTAAGAATTTGGTACCCAGAGTGAAGAACTAAAGGTTACTTAGTAGGGCTGGGACTTAAAGATACAAAAAAAAATTTGTTTTGCTTTATTTTTTGTGGTGCTGGGGATTGAACCCAGGGCCTCATACATACTAGGCAAGTGCTCTACTACTCACTGAGCTAGCTATACCCTTAGCTCAAATATTGTCTTCCTCTGCAAAAGTCCCCTCTATCCTACCAGTGCTCCCATATCCCTGCCATGTATTATAATCTTTTGATGTATATTTCTCCTGAGATCCTAAAGGAGGAGTTTGGAAAACTTACCTCAGACCTACATTTACTGCCTTCAATGGGTTTTTGTTTAATGAGCAAGCATATAAATTGAATGAGTAAATAAATTACTAATCCAATGATATTCATTATGTGTCTTTCTTCTGGGTAACTTTGGCAGTAGATCTGATGAGGTAATAGAAGTACAGGATTGTTGTAAGTGAGCATTTCTAGTGAAAATCAACGAAGTAGCTGCCTAACTGGAAAGGTGCAACTATGATAGCATGCAACAGCATGTACTTACTCTCACTTAGCCTATAGCTTAAGTATGTGTGCTATAGTCTACTTTTTTTTTTTTTTTTTTGGTAAGGTGGTAAAATGTGTAATAGTTTTAGAAAGCTTTTCATTAAAAGTCATTAGAATAGGATTTTTGACACTTCAAGGACTGCATTTTAAACATTTCTGTTAACTGTTACATGTCTTAAAAGTGTTAGTTAACATTCATTCATGAAGATAAATATTGTAGGCCTGATTTCTTAGAAATCAGAGTTAAGGAAATAAACACAAGATTTTGTTTTTTCCTTAGGGATCTATCATTTGGTTCTCTTAAGTTTCAGTTAGAAAATAACTGACTCCTTGTGTTGTTATCAATTAGTGGTATTAGTAGAACCAGGCAGATACAGCAATAATTACATGATTCTCAGTCTTGGCTTATTAGTGTTTAGTTTTTACATATTGGGGTAGTGCTACGGTTTTATATACATTGTCCCCTTTGACACTGATGTTGGAGGTTAATTCCCATTGTGAAGTTTAAGAGGGTAGAGACTTGATCTATGGTGTTTAGAGCAAGGGCTTTTGTGAGCTGATTGGAATTAGATAAGGCTATCAGGGTGGCACCTCCATAACTGAATACTGGTGATTCTAAAAGAAGAGAGTAAAAGACAGATGCACACATGCATACACACATTTGTGCACTCACTCTCTCACCATTGCCTGCAGTGCCTTGGAACTGTTCCAGCAAGAGTGCCAGTGCCAAATGGAACCCCTTGACTTTGTACCCCAGACCCAGGAGCCAAAAGAAATTTTTGTAAGATTTACCTGGTCTGTGGTATTGTGTTATTAGCAACAGACAATGTGCCTTGGCAGCAAGAAAGTATTTTTCTCTTAAGTATTATATGAAGAGTTACTTTTTTTTTTTTTTTTTGTGGTGCTGGGGATTGATTGAACCCAGGGCCTTATGCATGTGAGGCAAACACTCTACCAACTGAGCTCTATCCCCAGCCCTAAAGAGTTACTTTTGGGTAAAAGAAAATTAATTGGGTTTTTAATATTTTTCTTATTCAATTTTAATGTCATTTTCAGTGGAGTCTTCAGATATTCTTAAGTGTGAACAAACTCTCTTCTCTGTTTCCAGTTCCTATTGCTGCTAGCCAGTTTGTAATAATGGTTATCATGTTATTTATGGATAGGCAGTTTCTTTTTGGAAGTGATGTACAGGTGTGGGAATTTCTTACAACGAACATTTCATCCTTGTCCCCTTGGTAGTTGAAAAGAGAAGTTTGCATATTCATTTATTTATGAAATACATAGCTTAATATGAAGTGACTGTCTAGTCATAGAACTGAATATAAAGTATATTCTCACAGTTGATAGAAAAATCAAATGAGCTGAACGTGGTGGTACATGCCTATAATCCCAGGGGCATGGGAGGCGGAGGCAGAAGGATTGCAAGTTTAAGGTCATCCTGGGCAACTTAGTGAGACCCTTGCTAAAACGGGGGCCCAGTGGTAGATTGCATGCTTCTAGACACTCTCAGTTCTGTTTCATTGGCATATGTGTCCATCTTTAAAATTGATAGTGTCTTCCAACTTTGGTTTTCTTCAGTATTCTTCTATTTTGTGTCACTTGATTTTCCAGATGAATTTTAGGATCAGCTTGTCCGTTTCTACAAAGAAGCCAGCTGAAATTTTGATGAGGATTGCTTTCAATCTGTAGATAAATTGGGAAGTATTCCTATCTTAACAAGAATAAGACTTCCAATCAATGAAGATGGTATATCTTTGTGTCCATTAGGTTTTTTAAAAATTCTGTTTTCTTCATGGCATCTTTCATTCACTTCAGATACTATAAAGCTTGATGAAGTAAAATTTTTGGATATAATCTTTGACATCCTTTGCAATCTTTCCCATTTTGAGGTATGGCGTTTTTTATAATTCTTGACACTGACAATTTCCCTGAGACTTTGTTTTGAACCATTGTATCTTTTCTTTTTTATACCTTTATTTTATTTATTTATTTTTATTTGGTGCTGAGGATCGAACCCAGTGCCTTCATGTGCTGGGTGAATACTCCACCATTGAGCTACAACCACAGCCCTGAACAGTTTTTTCTTTATGATCATTTATGTTCATCGTAAGACTGTATAACAATAACTCCGTCCAATTTACTCTGCAGAAATTACAAGTCAGAAACATGTGTGTGGACTTGTCATCAAATTTCACCATAGTCCCATTGGTGCCCTCTCCCACTGGCTGTTTTGTTAGATCCCTTCTGTGTTTTAACCTCTAGTATTTTCTATCACTGTTTCTCTGGGCTCTATATTAGATTAAAAACTAACCAATCAACCTACGTTTTCATTTACTACTGTTTCTGCAGATGTGTTTAGTCTATACATTCCAATTGTTTAAATTTTGTGTTTTAAGAAATCTGGTGCCTTTTCAGATCTGCTTGGTTATGTAGTTTCTTGTTCCTTGTTTATATTTTCAAGTTTCACTTTTATTTCCTTATTATATTAAGCATCTTATTTTATATCCTATAACTAATAATTCTAATATCATTAGTTTTGAAGCTCGAGTACCTTGGTTTTGCTTTCTTCTATTTCTCATTTATGTTGCCTGTTTCCTGGTGTATTTTATGATTTTTAACTACAAGTTTCTTTTTTTCTTGGACCTTTATCTGTTGTAATTCTTTAAGAACTCGGTTGATTTAAATTTTTTTTTTTTTTTTTTTTTATGAATAATCTTCCAGGGAGGAATTACATTTGCATCTGTCTGGGGATACAATTTGGGTTTACTTTAAAATAAATATACTTCTTGAGGTTTTTCAGGCCACACAGATAATGTGAATTTAGGCTGCAAATCTAGTGAAGAGTAAGGGAAATCCACCCCCCTCCCACCTCCAACAGCATTAAAAAGAGACAGGCTCATTTCCTTACTGTTCTCTTTGTTGTTTCCACCCTGTATGGTGAGGATGTAGCCGTAGGAGTCCTAAGCTGTAAGGTAGTGTCCTCCAGACTTCCCATTTTGGGCAGGACCTAGACTTCATAAGTAAAAACAGAGGACTGAGTGGCTGCCAGTTCTGAAGCTCAAGATTTGCTAGAAACCTTTGATAAGAATTCTTATGTTTCTCACATATTTCCTCTTTTTTTTTTTTCATTTGTGAATTTGTGTCAGCTTGGTAATAAGTTTTAAAAGTTTTTTAGTTTTTAATATTTTCATATTATCTTAGTCTCAATTGTAGGATCTATTCAGGGAATCTAACATCTCATACTGTCAGAAGTGGATCTACAGCATCATGTGGATAACATAGCTGTCATCACTGTGTATATATTTAGTAGTTTTTTTCATATTTAGTATTATTATTATGTATAAAGCTCCTTCTACTTATATTGCCCATATTGCATTTTAAAATTTTTATTTGTAAATAGACACAATACCTTTATTTTATTTATTTATCTTTATCTGGCACTAAGGATGGAAGCCAGCGCCTCACACTTGCTGGACTCCATCACTGAGCTACAACCCCAGCTCCCATGCTGTGTTCTTAAGGCTATGCCATGTTTTGTGGTTATACTGTAGTTTATACTATTTGCTTGTCCCTCAGCCTCATAATTTAAATAGTGTTGCTAGACAGCTTGTATTCATGAACTTCAAACTCACTTTTTTCCCTTCCTTTAGGTCGAATTGACATAAAACAGGTGATAGCTAAGAAGAGACAGTTGGCAGCAGAGGCAGAGGTAAGAAACTTCCTCTTTCAGAAACATAAATGCACAGTTTTTTTATAGAGTTTTATTAAGTAACAGTTTTAATGTTAAATTGTTTTAAGCATTATTTGCCTTTTTCATCAGTTGATATTATCTTGCTAAGGAACAGGAAAATAAGATCTGCCACTTTGACCTGTATAAGAATGCATATTGCCCTTTTCTTTCCTGTCCCATCCTTTTTTTTTTTTTTTAAGATTTTTTTTTTAAGAGAGAAAGAGAGAGAGAGAATTTTTTTTAATATTTATTTATTTATTTTTTAGTTCTCGGCATACACAACATCTTTGTTTGTATGTGGTGCTGAGGATCGAACCCGGGCTGCACGCATGCCAGGCGAGCGCGCTACCGCTTGAGCCACATCCCCAGCCCCTGTCCCATCCTTTACTGTCATTTTCTGGCTCTAAGTGGCAAATCTTGTTTTTTTTTTTTTTAATAATTGTAGATGGACAGCATGCCTTAATTTTATTTATTTTTCATGTGATCCTGAGGATCGAACCCAGTGCCTCACACATGCTAGGCAAGTGCTCTACCACTGAGTTACAGCCCCAACCCCAAATCTTGTTTTTTAATAAGCCATGTAAAGGCTGATGTAGTTAAATGTAGGAGTGCTTTATGAAAGTATTTATCATGATTCACAGTAAATAGGCCTCCAATAAATATGGAGTCAACATCTAGAAGTAGATTCTCTGTCAGGGAAGTAGAAATAACAACTCAAAAAATAACAAAGTGGAGCCATATCAAGCAGGGAAAACTATTTCCTAAATCAGAATTCAGTGTACCTTCAGGAAATTCTGGGGTCAAAGAATACTTTAAAAAAAAAAATTGTAATTTAATACCATTTGTGCCTTAGTGTAAGTTGACTTCAAATCCAAGACAAACCTTTTCCAATGAGAGAAGTTTGTTAACCAATCTCAATTCATAATTATTATTACGTAGATAAAATACTTATTTTAGTTATTAATTTACTTACATATATATGTGTATGCACATGCCTTTATAACAAATAGTTTAGAAAAATTAAAAATATTACATAAAATAATGTGTATGAGATTATTTATATTCACTCTGATATCAGTGTCTTTATTATCAGGCTGGTTTTTCAGTTATCTCCCAAGGCTAAGGGCATAATCATTTTCCCTTTCATCTCATTTGTTTGAAACATAACACTTTCTTAGTCCAGGGATGATGCTTTCACTAGAAATATTATTACAAGAACCTATTTACCACATGAAGAAATTAACCCCCATCATCCTAGAGGGTATTTGTGATGACTACACTATAACCATTCACCATATTGCTTTATAAAGTGGTATTCAAAAGACATGTTTGCTATATTTGAAATAGTAAGTCTAGACGAAGTTAATAAGAGTGTTAAATTTTATTCTTTTTTCCTGATTCCATTAAGTTAACTGTATGAGCCTCTAAAACTAAGGTGAACAAGGTCATTTGTGGAGTATGTATGTCTTTTCTGATTTGGAACTTTGTTGTTATAAGAGACTGTTAAAAGACATGATTGTTAGGCAACTTCTTATCTGAGTGATTAATTTGTAATTTTGGCTAAGAATATATTTTATATTTATTAAAAATTAAATATATTTATAAAATATATTTCATAATATAAGTCACATGTGTTCTTTTTCTTTTTTGTGGCACTGGGAATTGAACCAGGACCTTATGCATGCTAGGCAGACATTCTCTACCACTGAGCTATATCCTTAGCTTTTTTTTTTTTTTCAATTCAACACCCACACATACACACTCACACATGCACATGCTTATTAGTAACTCACAAAAGCTAAATATTTTAGGGTGCAAAGTGTTCAGACATTCATAATCTGGATGAAACTACAAAGATACAAAAGAATCCAAGCTTCAGCTTCATGTCAGCTGTATCCATAGTCTTATTTTATTTTGAGACAGTCTTGCAAAGTTGCCCCGACGCTGACCTTGAACTTGGCATAGTCATGCCTCAGCCTCCTGAATAGTTGGGATTGCAGGTATATGCCATTGTGTCCAACCCATGTTCTATTTTCGAAGGTTTATTCTTATGAATTTAGTGATTAAAATAAAGAATTTTTGTTTTTATAGTTTCCTAATGTGTTTCTGACTTGTCATTCTTGTAGACAGGACAGACTCCTTGGTGTATGTCTTTTGTTCATTTTCCCCTTCCCATCAAGAACAAATAGTCCTTCCCCCCCACCCAGTGAAAACATTCTTTATTGGTGTACACACATTTCAAACTTTTACACATATCATGCAAAACTGTCTCACACTTGTCTAATTGTTCATTGTGATGATATTTTTTAAAGTTACAGCGACTGTAATAGTAAAAATAATTCAGGAAAATGACTCAGTGAAATGAAAACACTGAAGCACATGTGAAAGTATTCATACATTTTTTATGCTTAATTCTAAGGTAAATCTACTTTGGAAGACTATTATATGCAAAAATGGCAGTTATATTTGTATTGTGCTCCATGTAACTGATAAGAAACCAGAAGGAAATCTGAAATAATTTTACAAGATTTGGTTATTTTTCTTTTTAAGAACACATAGTCTTTAAAAAAAATATATATATATATTATATATATATGTGTGTATATATATATATATTATATTTAGTTATAATTGGACACAATACCTTTCTTTTATTTATTTTTTTATGTGGTGCTGAAGATCGAACCTAGCACCTTGCACATGCTAGGCGAGCGCTCTACCGCTGAGCCACAACCCCAGCCTTAAGAACATATAGTCTTATGCTCTATTTGTAAAGATTCAAATAGGCGAAGGATCATTCTGTCCTGTTTGTTTGCTACATGCTTTAAAACTTTAGGCACAGGCAGAGTTTGTGCCTGTGCAGGTGAGTTGGCTCATGGGCTCCATCACTGTGGGTGGGCATCTGCTTGGGAGGGAACTGGGATGTCTCCTAAGTACATCTCTGTGTTAAAATTGACTCCAGAGGAGAGAACCTATACACCAATAACAGTGGAAGAAATTGGGAAATTTATTAAAAAGCAATTCCTCACATCAGGCTCAGATGGAGTTACAGATTAAAAAAATTCTTAAGTAACATGTGGATTCAGAAACTCATGCAAAGAGGCCATTGATCCTGTCATCTTCAAAACAAGATATGTAACCTCGCATTATAAGTGGTGAAATGAGGCACTGCTTGTGTGTCTACTGCCTGGCTTTGAATAATGTACCATAATCTTTCCCTTCAGAAGACCCTCTTTCAGCAATAGCTGTAAAGAATCAAACGGATTTCCAAGCTTGTGGGGCAGATTCTTTCATGCGTTAACGTGGGAGATGATGCTGCCGGCACTTACATTTGGTCTGTGTGAGGTCCTATCTTGCCTTCGCAAAAAAATATGTCAATGCTCCAACCTTTGCTCCAGCCCTGGTGTGGCTGCAGTGCTGCTGGGATAGCTAGGATTATTGCTTCATTGGAAAGAGTTCAGATGTTGCTTCAAGACCACAAACATCAGGACAAATTTTTGAACACTTATCAAGCTTTCAAGTTGCTGAAACGGCATGGAGTTGGATAGTATTATCAAGGCTTGGTGCTCATTCTTTTTTATAATGGATTCAGCAATTTTTTTTGTGGCAGGGAAAGGGGACAGTGCGGGGACTTCCACATCCCATTAAGGTGCATCTGCCTCCTGTGATGTCCATGATGCTTATTTTTTTAAAAAAAACCTTTATTTTACTTGTTATTTTTGTATGTGGTGCTGAGGATTGAACCCAGGATCTCGCATGTGCGAGGCGAGCGTTCTACCGCTGAGCCACAACCCCAGCCCTCCATGATGCTTATTTGACTGATGATTTTATCTGTGGTGATCTGTTGGGTGCCATCTTGTTTTTTTCCAGTTGATGTTATAAAAACCTACAAAGTCTTAGAGTGATGGGGAATTTTTGTCTTTCTCCAAGGTTTTGTTTTGCTTTCTTTTCTTTTTAATGGGACATGCCGCTCACTGATCTTTTCAGAGGTGCCCATCTGAATTACCACCAGTTCTTCATCCTTTGTGGAATAATCAGTGTCATAGAACCTTGTTAACCATGATTTTTAAAAATATAATGTTTAAGTACCATTTATCAACTGAATAGAGTTATAAAGAATGCAATTTGATCTGCTTCCTAATTGGCCCAAATACAAGTCCAGGCAACAGTGAATTAGGGGAAAAGCTGTTTTCTCTTAAATATCAACAAAAACAGATATCAAGGTTTTAATAGCAAAATAAATATTTTTCCACACAAGGTTATACACGGGTAACGGGAATTGAAATGGGAAGTTGAGGTGGGGGACAAAGAGTAGAAGGGGATGGGAAGAAAGGAAAGAATGGAGTTCCTGCAAGGATCTAAGCTAAACTTTTTAAAGTGAATAGTCTGCTTAACTGCTTTATATATTACTGAATAAAACTAGTTTGCTCAGTTAGGAGGAATGGAAGGAAAAAGAATTGAGTGAATAAGGGAAAAGTAGCTGAGGGAAAGGTAGACACTGGTTTAACCATATTATTTGTTACTCATATTGAACAAATGGATGTGAGGGGTGCAAAGTTGTATGAGACTTGTCCCTGCGGTTAAGGGAGGGACTGGCCTGAATATAGGTATGGAGCTGGAAAACCTACACTGTGTCTTGGAAATAGCACTTGATGAGCATCTTTGTCTAGGTTGGGGTACAATGGAAAGAATAATATAATGGGGGAAATTGGGGCTGGATTGTAAAGCATGTTTTCTCTATTTTTGAATCCTTTTATGTATAGTTCTACCTCAGATTTTTCTTTAACTTCATATCTTTACCAATCAAAATAATGTACAGTTGGCCTTTAATTTCTAGTTCAAATCCATGTTTTTCTACAGTTTTCTAAACATTCCTGTTTGGGATTATTTCCTCTTTATTCTATACTCCTGAGTACGTACTTTGTATCCTTAATATATACTCTGTATTTAATAAAGAGTGCTTTATTCTGAATAAATCA